TTAAACTGTTGTGAAACACTGATTATAACAGATCTTAAAAACATTTGGGATCGAAGATGGTCACGCTCTTGACGACAATCTGAAAACTAAAGCTCGTTAAACTGAAAAATTTTGTAATATGTTACTCAGACTGAAGGTCAGAAAGTTCCTAGATCAACGATACTTCCATAGTCGTGACTTTTGCATAGAAAAAAAGAAAAAATTTTAATATTGTGAAACACCATCTAGAATAAGTGTTCAACGGTTTAGGAATAGAAATGTGGACCCTCTTTCCACAGGTCATGACAGACGGGCTTCTGAAATTACGTTTTTAATACACGATTGGCAATCATATATCATCAACATCTCATGAAAATATATAAACTACGTCCTTATTGCAGTTCTAGAGAGTATCGTGGTTCATATTTCAATCTTACAGAGATTGCACGTACAGCTTTATTCTTTTTTTTTTCTAGGTTATCACTTGTAGAAGGCGTGCTATTTTCTAATGGAACGCTTCACTCTTCTTCTCCTTTGTTTTTTATGCGAACATCAGAGCTTTTGGCAACTTTATAGCAAGTAATAGTGATTTCGATGACGTACATGTCGAAATTTTATTAAAAAAAACAGAAATAAAAATTTTTTAAGGATGTGACAATGTATAAATTATCAACCAAATCATTAATAATTTTCTCATCCGATGGAGATTGTCAACATGAATATAAATTTGGTCAAGTCAATGATCTTGCTTCACTCGTTTAAAGTCCTAATAGATTATTTATTTTTCATCGAACATCGAGAGAATGAAATCAAGAACAAGTCTTTTCTTTTTTATCATTTGATTTATTAAAAACAAACAAACGAAGAAAATAGTTTAACGACGTTCTCTTGTACGTTTATTATTGAACCAAATACGAATTTGAGGTGGTGTTAGTTGAGTTCGAATTGATAGATCATCAATTGTTTGTTTTGATACATATTTATCCACTTTATAAAAATGTTCTTCTAAAATTCGAATTTGTTTCCAAAGAAAAACGACGGGTTTTTTCTGGATGAACTTCATTAAAAGAAAAAGATGATTTTATTCGAGTACTTACTGGCTGTTGTCGTTGAGGCATAACAACTTCATTATAATAGAAATATGGTTGATAATAATTATACGCATTAATTGGAGAAGAACTATTATGATTGAGACAATAACATGAATCTAAAATATAAGAAAAAGAACTCTCACCTGATGCATAACAATATGACATTTGTTCAACTTTTATTATAGAATGATTTAGCTATCAAACTGGGTTGAATATGTATATATAGAAGGTTAATATTGAGAGAAGAGCTTTTTCCATAATTGACACAAAATAATTAGGCATCAAATATCGAACATAAAAGCAGTTCTGCTTTTCTCTTTCATCTCTTTTCTGTTCTTTTTCGTTCTAGCATAAATATTCTCTTTTTATATGTAATTTGAAAAAGTTCAAAACTAATGCAATCAAATAAAAAAGTTCAAAGTCATTAATCAATAGGAAACAGAAGATAAATTGACAAAGATATATAATCGTCAATGAAAACCATTTTCAATTTGAATTGCATAGTTAATATAAATACATATACACGTATATTTACTAAAGACCCTAAAAATACTTTTATTTCTTTGTGAAAAAAAACTAATTAAAATACTACGTATTTTGTCAATATTAATAATATCATAATGTAATTTTAATAAAATATATTTAGTTGTTAAATCAAGAATTTGTCGAGCATATTCAAGAATATACATATTTTATTCATTTTCTTATTTCAAAATAAAAAAAAACTTAATTTACAAAAGTAAATCATTTTTAAGTATATAACATTGTTTCAATAGTGTATTCTCTTAATCTTTATTCCTTCATAAAATAATTGTTAATTTATCAATTTCAACTGAGAATTGAGATTTTGTCACAATAACAAAGAAAAAAATGAACATGACGCAGCTTTTCTATTTCAAAAAAAAACTTAGAAGTAAAAGAAAATGAAACAAAACTTTTACTTTTAATTATAAAAAAT